ATAATCGTTAACTACACATTGCCCATAATGAAGCGATGCCGAGCATGAACCCTCGGTGTTAGCCCATCGCGTTCACATATACATTCATTAAAGACTGTTCTAACCAAAGATGAAGGATGTAGTTTCATTAATATACTGCTATTAACAAAAATTCTCAGAGTCACAGTCAGCGTGTTATCACGAATAATCTATTTGCTCAATTAGATAAAACGCGTGATCTAATATACAGTCCTTTCCCTTGTTCCAATACACACACAACAATTTCCATACTATCAAATATTGAAACTGAAAGGTGCTGTATATATTGTTGTTAACTATCATATGCAATCAGTAGTTCTACGTAGTTGTCTATTTCAAAGATAGAGTAAAACAAGGAATTGGTTTGGTAATATTGCATGGTTTTCCGTTTAAAGTCCATAATAGTCTCAGGCGAAGCGTTTGTAGAAACAATGAGTTTGATAAAATAATAAGAGCTTTACTATAATTTCATTATGGCTGATGCATGAGTATCAAAGCCGTGATAAGATATGGCTTGAAGAGAATAAGATAAGATATAAATTTAATAAAAAAAAAAAGAAGGAAAATTGAACTTTGGTTTGACACCTCGTGTATGCGATTTCTCAATACCGCGTAAGTATGTTTACCAATTGACTGGCATACAGTAAGTCGTAATGTCGGTTACATAATACTGCAGTTAGATCCAACTGGACCGTCATTTGGATTGCTCTTCACTTTGGCAACAACAAGGGAAAAAATCGTAATGTTGATAATTGAGTCCACTTGTTGAGTCAAGACGGAGATTAGGGCGGACAGTGTGGTAATGGTTCAGAAGATAACAGTCCGATTGGTTTTGGTTTGAGTTTAGATCACTGGTTTTGTTAGGAGACCGTGTCGATTTACTTATTGTATTTATAACCATGTGTCGCTTTTTTACGTGGCTGCGGAGATGAAACCGTTTGAGTTTCAAGCGCAGTTGAATATCATAGTGAAAAAAAATGCGTTTTACGCGCCAAATAATAATCTTACTGGGTTTAATCAATAATTACTAATTTACAATAATAGAACTTGTATTCTAGTTCACTAGACCCTGTTGAAACGATGCCAATGCAATGTATATTATCACCTGTTAATCGTTGTGTAATAGGCCTTTAAACCTAGCCGTTAGAAATGCACAACTTTTTATGGAATCACCAAAGGCAATTCCTCTTATATAATTTTATTATTCGTTAAATATCAAATCTTGACCATTTACCTTTATACATTTATAAAATTCGAAGAAGAATATACCCACATCACAAAAAAACCGCGGACACCAGAAGAAAGAAACAAGAAAAAAAAAGGATGAACATCGGCTCTTTGTCCTCATCGTCGTCATCCGAATAGCTGATGTTTGATATTATCAATGAGCATAATGCTTCGCAAGTTAGTCTGACAGATAGTATCTCACCTAGACGAGTCGTCGGGCGGCTCATTGTCAAATGAGATCGACTCCGACACCAATTGGCCACTAAAAAAAGTCATTGAAAATGATCAAAACTATGACTAGTAAAAGTAAATAGGCGCAAAATTTTGTGATAACATAATTAGCATATACTGCATATTAATATACGACCAACTGCGATTAAGATCACACCTATACCAGTAGCTAGAAGGGGAAACCCATTTGCATTGCATCAAAACTTCGTCGTTGCTAATAAAAATAGACAGGACTATAATACAAATGTATGCAGATTCCGTTTTTGAGAACGACAAACAATAGCTTATGCTGGATGTAAGCCCCCATTATTCGTCAATGGTGATGTGTTTAGTGATCCAAAACACTATAATTAAGAGATAGTACTCAATGTATCTTGTAGATTACAAACTTTCCATTTGAAAACGACTTATGCAGAATGTAAGCCACCCATTATTCGTCAGCGCTGTAAGAATCATTCATGAACTAGAAATAAGTGTAACCATTATTTATGTTGATCATGACTATCTGTAAAGACATGTTGAAAAATCACACGGAAATGTTTCACAAACAGGGTATAGCTAAGCCTCAAAAAGATGGCGATATGCCTATCGGCCAATCGTTATTATGCATTGGTGTCATTAACCGTTGTAAAAACAAAAGCTCAGATCTGTGCTACGGTGGTGAGACCTTCCAAACATAATTTTGTTATCTGCGATGAATGGGCGTTCTCATGTATGATGCAGAATAAAGAATAACGAAATAACAAGCCTAACTTAAAATGTTCTTTCTATGAGTGTAACTGGTTCTCTTGTATTCCATAGACAATAGCATAACAAACAGTTATTATCGATGGGAACATAGGGTATCATTTTATTTTTCTAAGCAAGTGTTCTACCTTGTACGTGTTAATTAAGTGCTCTGTGCTGCATGGTAGTGACCATGCCAATAAGAAAGTAGAATAAATAAGATCATTGAATATATGTAATAACCCTATTTTATAATATTGTTTCACCATACTGTACTACACACGCAAGCGAGTGTTTGCTCTGAGGACATGCCACCACCAAATCACAGGTATGATTGTGCGAATCCAAATTTACGATAGAGTGTGAATCAAGCAAGCTTTTTAAACCAATATTCAATGGATGAAACTCTGTATCTAAACGATATTGCGTAGTTTATGCAATTATTCTAGAGAATTCGAGTATGATTACGTACCCCCAACACGATTGATAACGATGCATTAATGTTGTCAAAATTGGGACTAGTCTGTCTGCACGCTGACACAACGACTTCGTCTAAATAAAGTATGAACGACGGACATTTGATCCGTAACTCGGTGTAACCTAGTGATGGTGATAGTGGTGGTAGTAGTGGTGGTAGTAGTGTAGTAGAACACAACATATCGACTGTAAAGTAATATAATCTGATCGTCGGTTAAAAATGAAAAACGAGTAACTGATATGGCAGTTTATATTGTACAGTACTGAAGGCATTCTGTCATTGTTTTCAGGTTAAGCGGCCACAATTGATTTTGTTAAAGGAATGAATCTTCGTAGCTAGTCTTGTGAATATTGGGCCTTATCGATACGCTACAGCTCAGTTAGGAAATTTTGGTCTACACAGCAAGTCGCAAGTCAATTGTTGAACATATGTAACGTTATGATTGGAAATATTTATTTCATTGATAATAACAAATTCAGTGTCTACAGTTGACACGAAATGTTATACAAAACCTAAAACGTCTGAGATTTGGTAAGCATATTCGCTTTTTCGTTACGCAGGGGAGCATCGAGTTCGATGAGAATAGACGACTAAAAGATAATTGACGTAAAGATTAGTGAAACGACACAAGTTTAAAGAAAACAATACTCGATGAATCAAATCAATTATACCCGTCTGATGCAGAATGGCCAAAACGGCCCACTGATACATTTCCACTTAATGCCTCGCTGCCTATCGCTAGAGTTAAATTCCCTTATAATGCGTACTCTCTCCTCGTCAATCTACAGTACAACGAAGCAATTGCCAAATTAGAGATTCCTTACATACGCTTTCTATGTCTATCTAGTGCCTCTTAATGTTCTATTTACCTCTAAATACCAAATTACCGCGACATAGCAAACCACTAATTTTGTCATGAAAAACAGGATTATTGCAATATACAACATAATCTCTTCATTGTGTCTCGACAAGATCAAAAAGATTGTGATAAAGCCCCCAGACAAAAGAAGTCCAGCGAGACCGATCCAAGCAAGTCGCATAGCGTTTGCTTTCAGCGGTTTGTTTAGAGCATCTACTTTCGTATAAAACTCATGCTGACGTATCTGAATAAAAAGATGGAGGGAAGGTATGACAATTATAAGGAACGAGCAATTAACAGATGACAAAACGATAAGGACTTTCAATAATAAACCCAACCCAGTATATTCACGATATGGTCTGTATTCTTTACTTACATGATCCTGCAGTTCTGTTGGATAAGTCTTTTGGTACATGACACCAAAAACTCGTGTTTTCATTTGTACGGTAATCATGTTGCTGTTCTTAAAGCTAGAAGCTATTAAATGGGGGATAGCGTCTTTGTATATATATATATGCTGTAAGACAAACTGCGGTTCGAGTTAATGGTGTGGTTGAGGGAATAGTAGTAACTTAATACAATACAACATACTGTTTGATTGATAAGACAGAAAAGGGTAGATTAATGAGCAGTTCGACTTTAGTCAGTGTTAAACAAGGCGGAGTTTGCAATAGTAAAAAATATAAAAAATTTGTTTGTTCATAGTTGATCTATTTACGTCCATAATGCTCGTACGCAGCAGGTCGATTAATTCATTGCGCTAGTCTAATAATTATAATAGTACATTATACAACACCGGAAGGAAAGTGGCCCTTTATTCCGAACGAGAATATGTTATTTTTTAATAGTGTGATGTCAATGTTTGATACACAAATGCATTTACAATAAAATTTAGGTGTGTATTGTATGTTGCTGCTCGATCTGCATATGTGTCCGGTTATGGTAAATTTTAAAGTTGCACGAAAGTGTCATTAACAAGTATATCTGTTATCAAATCTGTGTGGTTGTTTAGCAATTCATTCTTATATACTCTAGATCTCTTACGCCATTGAAGTCCATTGCACGCAATGGTCTTACTAGTATCGTATCATCAGTTCGTTGAACTTAAGGGTTTCATATTAATATACCGTAATGGAAAAATATATGCCGTAAGCGATTTAATATGATTACCCTCATGTCGCAACATAAACAAACACGTATGAGTTATATGATTAAAATAGAATCATAGCGAGCAATTTATTAACGATAGAAATACTATATGCACTGCGCCAATTTAAACTTTATATAAACCCTTCACTTTCCTCGTCATACGCTTCGAGGGCGGCTCAAAAAAACTCCAAAAAAAAAAAAAAAAAAACAAACAAACAAACGATTCTATTTAATGATGTTTACCGTACTTGACTACGTCTGTCTCTTCACGGCAGCTGATTTATATCGGCTTTTCAATCCTCCCTGCCGGCTATACATCCCCGTAGAGCAGCTACTCTCGATTGAACATGGCGCGACTAGGCCGTTGTCGCCGTTCCAAATATATCGACGTAATTACGTCGCCAGCTTTGGGCCAGACCGGCCTCCTTACCGTATACGCGCTGAGCTGGCCAGCCAAAGCTGGAACAATGAGAGTAGCAAAGTCCGAACATACTTCTTATTTTTAAGAAGTATAATGAAGGGGTTTATAGTCGCACGTCGCAGCCTACGGCAGTGGTGAGCATAGTTTACACTATATCGTGATTAGTACTTATATTATTTGTTCTCGTTTACTAAAAGTCAACTTGGTTTAATTCTGCAGAATAACATTGTTCAAGAAATTCCTGCTGTAGGCTCTGGGCAGTGGAGAGTATCCCCGCCAGTATACGTGGACTGGCAGGGATATAGGTGTCAATATCGTGATGGCCGAGTCCATCACAATCATAAATAGAATCGTTGTTTCGCCCTCGTTTGTTCTTCGTTTCGTTCTTTGTTCTTATTTTTCGTTCTTCGTTCTTATTTTTCGTTCTTCGTTCTTATTTTTCGTTCTTCGTTCTTGTCCTTTTTTCGTTTTCGTTCTTTCGTTTTGTAAAAAAAAATTCTTCGTTTAAAATATTATCAAAGTTTATGTTTACCTAAGAGTATAAGAAATAAAGTACCGGAGTATTGCAATCGTTATTGTGTTTCGAATGATTGGTAATAAAAGTGCCCTCATACTGATAGTTGTAATTGTAGGCAAATTGTTCAACAGAAGATGTATTTGTAAACAAGCAAACAGCACTTGTAGCCCAAACTGTCACCCTAGCAATGGCACTTGTATTAATAAAATGATAATAGGTTGAAAGCATTTGTTATAAAGAGGGAATAAAGAGCATTATCATCTGTATGTTTTTATGTCCCGTTGTCAATGATACAAACATCTCCGGAGCTATGACACATCGGATTTGAGTAATACATAATAGAATAGCTGCGCAATTCGTGCCATTAGTGAAACAATGGATAATATAAGCAGTCGTAGTTTGTTAGCAAACATCTTCAGTATCATTCGGATCTTTCATTTCTTATATTACTTGCCTCCTTTAGAGTATTTCTATATTTCGCGTTAAATTATCGTTCATACCCGGTAAAAGTGCAAAGCGTCTTTCCATATCAGCGGTCAATGAGATCGAACTTGCCATCATTTAATTCTTTATAAATGCGTTTGTACCAGAATACGTCAATCCTGACAATATCTAACAGAACAGCTTCCTGGAGATACTTTACTATTATTGTTTCCAAAGTACAGAGAGGGGACATTGCTTTTGCAGTGAAAAATGTCTACATATTAATAATTCAGCAGTTGTATGTAAAAATTGGGATAACACTAGACATTCAATAGTAAGAACATCAATAACTAACTTATTAATATGGTTGCTAAATGTAATGTAATAATGTCCAATTGTTAGATTTGTGAATTCTAACACAGCTATAAAATGTGGATATTATAACTTTACTCTCTATGTAATCCTTCATGCTGAGAGTAATTATCTATTATGTACCGAGTTATTTCCATACCAGAAAAGGTGAAAATTAATTTAGAAAGGGGAATAATTTTTGCCGAAGGACCATTGGGTAAGAGCGCTATTGCTCAAATGTTCGTGTGCGCATGATCGACGCGATGTTTGCAGCGTTTATCATCGGAGCGGAATATACGTCATCAACATAATTATTATTTTATTCTTTCCAACTTTATTACTCTTGCTGTATGCATTGGGGCATTGTCTTTTGAAAAAATCGTATTTTTCTTATTCTCAAAAGTATTTGTATAAGGATCCGGTAATTTCTTAGAACAGCTATATAAAATCCTTAGCTGTGATCATCCAAGAGACCAAAGCCACAGTGGGTACCCAAAAGTCTCCGACCACTTTTAAAATTCCGTTGTCCCCAGATAACGTTCCGAAAAATTTTCCATATTTTATGAAAATTTGTACCTGTTCTGACCTACATACACTTCTGCGAAATTTTGTTGCACATTAATTGTTTATTTATATCCAACCGAAAACAAAACAACTAAGCGTTACGGTAAAATTTAATAACTGTTTAAACGTTTGCGCTATCAACAAGATCTCAATTAAGTTTCGTAGCGATTTTCCTATAGTTTAAAACAATTTGAAAAAAAAAATTTTTTTATTATATTTCAAGAGAGCACATGCGGATTGGTCTACAAGAGAAATTTGAATGGTACTTTCTACTACAGTAAACCCTCTCTAATATTAACCGGCTAATTGCGATATCAATATACATCATTTCGATATAATATTCAGGCAATTAGTAGTCAGAATTACTACCACGTTTAATTCTATTAATAATAAAACCCTTTTGCTAAGATAAACTAGCCAATGCTCACTCTCTTAATTGTGGCTCTTTTTGATAAAAAAAATCTGTTGATTTTTTTCTTTGCAATATTAATATTGTAAATAAGAAGTTTAAATTTAAAGCCCTAATTTATATTAATCTTGATATCAGTGAGGTACATGTGAAATCAAAATTGAGATATATATATATATGGAGAAATCCGTTCTGTAACCACTGTTGCTAATAGAGAGAGGTTGATTTTACAGGGTGAATATTTACTGTTACCATATCATTTTGCGAAAAATCAAACCATTTACTGTATGAGTGATTATTGTAGAATTAACTGAATTCGAGCACGGAATTATTATTGGAGTATGGTTGTTTGAACACTTTGAACGGAAATTGAAGCCTGAACTGGCTATCCCAAGAGCACAATATATGGCACAATAGAAAGATTGGTAGTGGGAACATTTAATCCTCATAGTGGGAGACCACCATTACTCATTGATAGGAACAAGTGACATTTTGTAGATCGAGTTGCTGTCATGGTTTTTAAAAACTTTCTTATACCCAACTCATTTTAATTTTAGTCAAAAATACTAGCTTCCCATGTGGTTACAAAAAATTTTGATATCCATTTTTTTTTTAAAAAAAAATGTTGTGTACGGTCGAACCTCCATAAAAGAACACAGTCGGGACAGCCAAATTATGTTCCATGATAGAGGCGTTCTCTTATAGAGTTTCTTCAAGATTATGACACAATATTTATAATATATCTCAAACCAATCAAATACTAGTATTACTAACAAGTACAATACCTGGTTTGTTTTGTTTGTTGTGTGTTTTTTTTTTTAAATTTTCATGCATTTTTTCATAATCATATGGCCTTCTTCTAAGTAACTGTTGTTTTTCTATATCAAAGTCTTCACCTGCCAACTGCTCTTCAAATCTAACGACTTTTTCAACGCTTCTCTGTTTACATCTTTTCTAGTTAGACTAGTTTTCCAAAACGATCATATAATAATTAATAAAAATTTTCCAGCCAATCAACATGCATTGTTCTTATATAGAGGTAAATTTAATTGTAAGCGTTCTACAAAATTATGTTCTTGTTCCTTTATAGATTGTTCTTTTATACAGGGAAATTTACTAATAAATCACATCCGTCCCATGAAAAAAGGTTCTTTATGAGAGGTTGTTCCTTTATAGAGGGTTCTTTTATGGAGGTTCGACTGTATAATGCAGTTAGTAGATTATTATTTAACCTCGTTTCTTTTTGATGGAATTAATTCGAAACCCTATAGATCACTACACTAAACACGTTTAAATTTCGATTTTATATACCGCTGATACAGAAAGGCGTTTTACACTTTTACCAGCGATGGAAAATCTCACCAGGGAATAATCGAAATAAATTTATACTTGACACGGATTTTTATTATTAGAATATAAATAACTATTTTAATTGTAAGGAATTATTAAGAATATAGGCTGATAAACATTCGCTAGAGAAACTACGACTTATATTACTGCGCTTGTGTTGTTTAAAGTCCGATGTGTTACTATTGGAAATGCTATTTTGTCCTTCAATTATCTATACGGTGAAAGTCCGGATCAATTACGTGATTACGGAAATGGACACGGGAAAGTTGAAGACAAGTAATGGTTGAATTTTCAGGCGGTCAATAAAAATTCATTTCTAGAGGACTTACAGCGTCGCAGAATATTTTTACATTAGCACTATGTTTGGATCAGTAGTTGTACTCGGAACACGGTATGTTTCCAAGAGGCGAATAATTTTTGATGTAGATGTTCTGCTAGTCGCGTGTAGAATGCTTGCTTTACGAGATTTCTGTTGAGGTGGGGCTATATCAAAAGGGTAGCAACTGAAGAATATCTTGAAGTCACACTTGGTATCGTACGAAGGCTATAATGAACATCCTGTACCGCGACTCTGAGGTCAGACAACCAATTCGCTGTTGCGCTGATAGGAGTTTTATAAATATACTTTAATGAAACGTTCATATAAACACTGATTCATAAGCGATACATACAATATGAAAAATACAGTATGTATAGAGAAATGGCAGACTGTCTCATGTCTAAGATCACAAGCTCAAGTATGGCTACGCAGACTCAAGGCATATTCTTGTTAACAAAGCAAGAATCCGTTTGGTAATTATTTCGACGACGTTGCCGGGCAGGGAATGTGTCATAAAACAACGCTTATTTTGGCATGCGAGTGGCGTATTTGTTTCTGACATGAGATTCGGTGAGTGATTAATAGCTTATCTTTTGAGCATGCTCGGATTATAGGTAGGAGTTTTGCGTTCTCTATTTGTCTACACCTACGATTGAACGCTCGGAGGCAAACCGATGATCTGTACATGTATAGTATTGTGCGACGCCGATCCTTTCTGGTATAAAAATACGAAGAAAAAAGCACATGTTCTTAACACGACATTGGAATTACTATGTGCGCGGAATCGTAACCGTCGATCTTCCGCCTGCCATCCGTTATCGATTATGATGTTCAAGTCAGTAATGCGAATGGATTCCATGGACAAGTAAAGTGCCGACAATTGAAATCGAAACATTGCGGAAGCCGACGTCATTGTTCCGACAGTTGATACTATAAGACATGATGAAGTTCTGTATTCATGGCTGTCTGAACATAAACCTCTAATTCTTTGTGGTCCTCCGGGATCAGGAAAGACAATGACGCTTTTCAGCGCACTTAGAAAGTTACCAGATATGGAAGTCGTCGGTCTCAATTTCTCCAGTGCAACTACGCCAAAACTTATTTTGAAGACTTTTGAACAGTACTGCGACTATCGAAAGACACCCACTGGCGTTATTCTATCACCTAAAGCAATAGGCCGATGGATTGTCGTATTCTGCGACGAAATCAATCTTCCAGCTACAGACAAGTATGGTGCTCAGCGCGTTATTCATTCTTAAGAAAACTAATCGAATATGGAGAACATCCGACAAAGCATAGGTCAAGCTTGAACGTATTCAGTTTGTCGGTGCTTGTAATCCACCAACTGATCCTGGACGAGTGCCACTTACTCACAGATTCCTACGTCATGCCCCATTAGTTATGGTTGATTATCCTGGTGAAATATCTCTCAATCAGATTTACGGCACATTCTCGCGTGCTATGTTGAAGGTTGTTCCACCGCTACGTGCATACACTGAACCGCTCACAGCTGCTATGGTTGATATGTCACAGAAAAAGTTTACACCAGACATACAAGCACACTACATATACTCACCTCGTGAGTTGACGCGTTGGATGAGAGGTATCTTTGAAGCTATTAAACCGATGGAATCTCTCTCAGTGGAGGGTCTTGTTCGTATTTGAGCGCATGAAGCTTTGCGCTTGTTCCAAGATTGTCTTGTTACTGAAGAAGAACGCAAATAGACTGATGACGACATCGATTCTATTGCCATAAAGCACTTCCCCAACCTCCATCCGACCAAGCTTTCTTCCAAGTCGGTATGGAATTCACGCACAATCTTGATTTGGATCTTCAGTCATATTCCCCTCCCGCAAACTCCCTGTTGTCTACAGAGGATTGAGCATGCCACCACTCCACCGACATACTATAGCTAATGCATTTGTTTTTGTGCACCAATCCTTATATGAAATCAATGCTAAACTGAGCAAGCGACAAGGTAGATATAACTACGTCACCCCTCGCCATTTTCTGGACTTTATCAATCACTATGTACGCCTGTTCAATGAGAAACGAGAATATTTGGAGGAGCAACAGCGCCATTTAAATATTGGTTTGGAAAAATTGAGATACAGTAGATAAAGTAGAAGAGCTCCGCATCAGCTTGAATATCAAAGAAGGTGAATTAAAAGCGAAAAACGCTGAAGTTGAGGAGAAATTGAAGATTATGCTTATCGATCAACAGAAAACCGAGATTAAAAAAGAAGAAGCCCGCAAACTTGAAGAAGTACTTTCGCAACAAAAAATCGCGATTGAAGAAAGGCGAACGGTAGTAATGAATGATCACCAATAAAGTGAAGTTACGGAAGAATGCTGCGACAGGGGGAGAAAGATCGGTGCTCTGTTGAGCTGTCGTGCGAAACAGAGAAGGGTATTAAAACATACAACTTGGACGAGTTACAAGATTCGCGAGGCCGGGCTTTACTCATTTCCAGGAAGGATATAGCAACTTCGGCTGTGAAGCTATTCGAGATAGTCCCGAGTACCGAGAGGATCGTGATGATGGATTTTGCTAATCAAGAGACTTGGTACGTCGGATTATTAACTTTGCAACAAAATCAATGGAATTGGGATATTTCTTTCGTCGAAAATTTCAGACTGACGCGTAATAATAAACGGATATCAATACTCTATCAATTAAAGATTTAGAGAAGTGGCAAGTATAAATTCCGTAATGTAATGCCGCAGACCTTCATTTATATAATTTAATCACTGTCTATCTTTTTGTACAGGGAGGAAATTGTAAGAGACGCGCAAGAAGAATACTATTCTCGTTTTGAAGTTTTGTAATTATTTCACTCGATATACAGCAGCGAACAGTAAATTTGCAAGACACTGCTACATTTCGTGAATCCTCTGTTACCAGGATTCAGACAAGAAAAACTACAAGGAAGTGCTATGTAGTATTGGGAAAGAATTTTCCTTCTGCAAAAGCCCTTATTACCCACATATACTATACAAGAGGACTCTACTTATCTATGGTCACCATGGCGAGAACAAGAAATACACACGCAAGACGAAATGGAAGAGGAAGTGCAAGAGACGAAGTGTTAGCACGAGATTTGGCGACAGGAATCTTTGATAAGGAGGATGTTTCCGACAGAAAGACTGAGCCTGATATAGTAGCCCAGTCGTTTCTGACATTGTACGAACTGGAAAGCTGTTTGTAGCAGCATCGACAAGTTTCGGGTTCCGAACATTATTATTTCGTTGTACGCTAACCATGGCTCATATCCCGAACCGTGGTAGGTATTTGTATGCAGGAACAACGACAACATCTGAAGAAATTACTTTATTATCAAAGTTTTTTTTTGCGGCAGCAAACGGTTACAAAGAGCTACGATCAAGGACGGAGCAAAAATGCTATTATTTGTACGTCATTGCCTTGAGCTACAATACAATCCAGCTAAGGACACAAGAACGATGCTTGAACGCGAGAAGAATTATCAGCTAGCATTATATGTTGCAGAGCATGGTATCCAATACCGTTGGCCTCAAGGCAGTTTCAATGAAAAATTATATACAAAGAGCTCTGTCCAAATGTATACCTTCAAATTTATCTGATCAGTGTAAAACGGGCGGAATATTCAAACTTGTGCGCACTGATAAGCGATGGCACGCATTACGATTGATTCGTGGTCAGTTATATGAATGCAAATTCAAATGTTCAGAGAGTCACTTTATGTTGACAATGCCGCAGAAGTCAACAAGTTTGTTTTTGAATTTCTTACACTTATGATGGAACAAAGTACATATTGCTACTCTTCCAAGCAAGCTATCCTGATGAGACTGCATCAAGATCTGCTCGAGTCATGCCAATTGTTAAATGTTTACTACGAAAGCATCTTATATGGAACATTAACATTTATTGTCGAAGTTCACAAATTGTTTGTCGCTATTTGGATATACACAAAAAAAAGCAACTGATAATGTCGATATATTTTCGATGGAACTGTAGCCAAGCTGTTACCACAGCACGTCATACAGTACTTTTTGAAGACAATTGCTTCTGATACGTTTATCCACAAGCAGTTGATGCGAAATTCCGATGTGAGAACATATTACGTATGTCAAAAGATTTTGCGACACGCTCGGTTGACAACATAGCCGCCACAGACGCCGATTAGTATTAGTTACCATAGTCAATCGGGGCGACTCGTTTCTTATCACAAATATCGGATTCTATTTGCGTGATAGAGCTAAGGTGCTAGACAATGTCAAACGTCTTTTGTGGAGCTTCAGATCGCGCATGTCTAGAAACATTTACGCTAGGAGAACTATCAACTTAAATGCTGCAAGAACATCTGGAATGTATTCCACACATCCATGGAGAGATAACATGGCACTGAGCATTCTGGTTGTGGTTTGGATGTGCAAGGTAATTTTTTTTACTAGTTTGATATCAATGCTTATATCTCTGGCAACTATGCTGATCCGATCTCTTGTTTTTGTAGACGAGTTCGATCGGCTATTTGTCCGAGATTGTATACTGTAACCTCTCGCTACAGTTGAGAGCTAGATTCTTGCATTCATGAACGAGGAGAAGCGTGGCCATTCTTGGATGAAATTCACACTTGCGATCACATTGGGCTTTTTGGCGGATCTCATAGCTCACTGAATGTTTTCAGGAAACTAAACAAGATAAATAATAAAGTGATGGGTCGCGCAAAAAACAGGTGATGGTCTGGGGGTGTCATGTGACAAGTGGTACATGAGAGAATGTTGGTAAAGTGAAAATTAAACTTCACTGTTCGATAATTGTCAACTATATAGTTTCAGTTTATGACAAAATAGTGATAATGTACTTTATACAGACATTTTATTAGAAAGTTTCTTCACTAATTACATAAAATAGTCTGGAGATTGCATCAATAGTTCTTCTGTTGCACAACAAGGCTTGGATTGCTCGTGATGGCCCAATATTTCTACAACGATTTCCCAGAATAGAGTTTGTTGACTACATTCAACGAGATTAATCACCATTACAATTGAGCTGCTAATCAAGGCTAAGAGATACATGTCATGAAATTGTAAAGTATCTGTGCAATAATTCAAAAAATGAAGGCGCGATTAATATATACAAGTGAGTCTCGATATAACGACACTGCTATATAACGACATCTCGTTATAACGACAGAAATCTTAGAACAAAAATTTTATATTGCTTAGTTGTCGTATGTAAATTAATTCTCGATATAAGGACATTCTCGATATAGTGACCATTTGTATTGGAACCGAGCGTGTCGTTATATCGAGACCCACTTGTAATGAAAATGCGTCTACCGATATGCTGTAATTTGAGACTATTTATAGACGGAATAAACGAACTTTCTCATTCTCTATCGGAGGGTTATATAAGACATTGATAGTCATTCTCGTTAACAGTGTTGTTGATCGTATTTCTTGATTACCATCATTTGTTATACACGATTTTTAAGACGTGATGGTATACTAAAGGAATCTAGGTCTCTTATATTTGACGTGATTATTGGGGAATATCAGGTCTTTGTATCTCGATGTTACGTATAGTCTTGGTATCATAATAAAGCTGATTATAATTGCTGTAATCGAGCTTTCTGCTCGGTTAAATGTTAAACGAACGGCATGTACTGTATGTGTGCTATATAGTGTACGTGTATACTCGGTGTTCTCTAGCATATAGCAAGTCTGTTAATCGTGCTTACATTGTCGCACATTATAAAGAACGCATATTTGTTATAAGACATTAAGTTGTCAAAATTACCTTCAATCTCACGTGTTATCAAACCGTTTTGCGATCTGAGAGACTTACAAATCGTATAATTGCTTGATTAAACTGAAAACTGAATTTGTAGATGATGGTAATAAAATATTATCGTCGCGTAATTGCGAATAAAAAAATACCTGAAGCATGCACCATTACCATAATAATAGAAATTAATATGTAAACACAAATTACCATTATACTAAGTTGTCTATAATATCTGCCCAGACCAAATAATAAAGTAATTGAGAAAATTCAGACATTGTTCTAGTCAAATATATCAAGATATTAATGAGATTAGTCAAGCCGTAAAATACAAGAATGCGAGCATATTAATATTACAATGATAAGGAATTATGACATTTTTATTACATATTTATTACGTTAGTTATAAACAAATAATATTTATTCCCTTGCCAAATCATAACTACTTGTACCAAAAATTTTAATAACCCAAAGTTGAAACTAGTATAATAAAGATTGGTGAAAGGGAGTCGTTGATGTAAGAAAGTCTCAGATTGGGCACGTTTACAATAAAGCCTGCATTAAACATTGCGCGGCTTACATGAGTATCCGAAGAGAAAAAGATCAATCGTGACAGATTCTAGCAAGCCATAACTTTAAGAATGTTACAACGCGTGATCGAAGTAATTTCTCTGCGGGAGTTGTTTTCCCGTTTGTTAGCTTAGCTATAAGAGTATAATGCGAATAATGAACAATTCGAATAACATTACCTGGAATTATCTTGATATAGTGATTTGCTTTTTGACAATTTGTGTTGAATATACGTGTTTTGCCAATATACGGTAACTAATATCACGTGATATGAGTTGTAATGAAATTCTGTTGGACCATCGATAAACCAGCAGAATAACTCGGGAATAGGAAGGATAACAAGATTATGATATGGCCACTCCACTACTAAAAGCTAGAAAGCAAACCGATTTAATAATTACAATCGTGTGCTTACCCACAAGGTAGATGAAAAAGCTTCTGAATGAACGAACGTATTGGGCATTAAAAGCTATCAGAACGGCCTGCTGTTTATCATGTACATCTTGCCGACTACCATACTTATTATTATTGTATGACGCATGCAGACCCTGCCTCTGAGCATTGGGGTCTGTCATGGGTTCCTCATTTCTGGACCACTTCCTATGGACTGAAAATGTCTATTTAGGTTTATGAGGTTTGGCCACACAATCCATATCATCTCATTGGACGAATGACTCGGGTAGTGAAACATAATCTCCAACTGCGTCGTGAAAAAAAAAAACGTGCAACAGTCGACAAACAATACTAGCGAAATACAAAGAACAATCCCGAGCATATTTGGTAAGTGTTTCGGAGACTCGAACTCAAACCTACTGCATGAGCTGCGGTGTTCGAGGCTTGGGTCATCTGAGTTGGCGTTGGGGAGCTTGCATGTATCTACCCATTCATTCATTTATACTGTCTATTATTTCGGAGTGAAAAATTAAGTTTTGTTTATCCCGAACACCCCCTCATATTAAAATGGGGGTCGCATACTGGATGATCGTAACCTGATATAGTATTTTTGAAGACAAAGGGCTTACATATGAAGTATAATTTATTGTGATGTGAGAGAGGATGTCACCAAAATCAATACTAAGATAATATAATAAGCTTTTTATTTTAAAAAAAGTATTGTAAAAGAATGCCGACAGTATTAAGTTAAAGTAAGGGCTGTAATTTACCCATTTATTACATTTCGTATGACGATGATAATTGTTTAATAGTGATTATTAATAGTCTTTGCAGGTCGATTGTTTGTCATTGTAGTAAGTATGTGATCCATGTTCATAATACTTGATCATCAATAGTCCTTGCGGGTTAATTGTTTGTCATTCTAGTGAAAATATGTTGATCCACGGAACGCATTTTCATAATACTTCTATCGACTGATTATTAGTTATCAATAGTCCTTCAAGTTGATTGTTTGTCATAATATGTTAGTTTGCTTTTTATTGAGTTACACATATGTGTGGTAAACTTGTAACACGAACAAGCATATTTTCTCGATGACAATCTATGCTTTGAGAGAGCCGATTGCGACCCCCAGCAAGCCTAAGTGGGTCATTAGTTTTTTTTTTGGTTTCCGTTTGCTAATTATTTAACTTTATATCAATACGGCAAGTTAGAATTGACTTTATCCGACCATTTTACCATTGCCGAATGTTTAATCCTGGTCGTATACCTAATATTGTTGAAATTTTGGTAAAAATGGTAAGAAATTATTCGATCACGACTTAATGTCCGATTAAACACATATCTTGCCGACAAATAAAATGAAATTGAAGATATCCATCCCATCATACGTAGGTACTTTAAAAGCATCATTCGGTTGAAAGTGACAACACATACTTGTTATAAGCATCGCCCATCATAATAAACGTCCAACTTCATAATATTTGATAAGGAAGTTTATCTTCAATGGCGAATGTGTAGAAATAAAGCTTCCCATCCACGAACCGGTGCAAATCAAAAGCGATTCTCTGAGAGAGAAAAACAAAAGATATAAATTGTTGTAAACAATAAGGAAGACAATAATGTGAGGATTAATATTATATCTTATAACATATCCTATCGATAAAAGACACTTTCCGTCTGATTAGTTTCGTTGATTATTTAACATAGCCGATATATGTGTTGAGCTTCATACTGCTTATTCTTAACAGAATACGTATGCTAGATCCGCTTTCTCTTTCTCAATCTTCTTATTGCCGGCTGCAGCAGTAGACTATCGCGTAGATGCGACTGGAAAGTAAATAATATTTACCTAATATACACATAATGCCTTTTGTTTTGGAAAATACTAGAGCGCGTTAGTTGGTAATGAAGCTCAATAGTAAAGTTTTCCGTCATGGAAATTACCGATGTTTGCTCTTCCCCACAACTAAGTTATTGATTGATTTCATGACATTCCTGCTGTAGTTCACCAGGTGTTTTTTCACACGTTTTCCGATCTAAGAGCCTTCATGCACGAAACACTGTCATTATAATAGCTAGAGACAGGGACTGATATAAACATGACAAAAAAAGTTGATAATACCGGCAAAACAAAAATATTTATGCTTGACTATTTTTTTTTTTTCAAAGTAGATGCGTGTTGAAACTGGTATTCATAGAAGCCGGTTATAGATGTATTTAATAAGATTAATGTTTAGTGACATTGAAAAGAGAGGTTTGTTTCGACTAAATGCTTGTTACAATGAATACTCATGACTCACCTCTATAAAGCCTTTAGGCTCTTGTGCTTTTTTTACCCTTTGAAGTAATGACTGTTGACTATGTAATAGTGAATAAAAGTTTGTTTTTTTTTTTCATTCGCGTATACTGTAAGCGTCGAAATGACATAGAATTCGAGTAAACATTTTACAACCCCTCTCTCGCTAGAAAACTGCTGTTATACAGGTAATTATTAAATGAATACTTTCCTCTATATGTTGGCTATGCGTCTTCTTGGGGGCAGCGGCAGGGAACGGGGGGTGTGTGATGCAAATTATATCAATAGCAACTCTCTTTCTATAATTATATCACAACAGGATATGTATATTAATATATTTACCATACATACCCAATTTGTATGGTCAGATAAGACTATTGATACCTTATAATAGAATAAGATTTAGCTGACTAATATTTGATACGATGGGATTTTACTTCGCTCATTAGCCGACTAATATAATAATAATTTCATTAATAATTCGAATACAAACAAGTGTATCAATATTTATTGCGCCGCACCTTTATTATTATATTAATAAATTCAACGTTAAAACATACTCAACTTGTATACGTAGTACACGTATCTGATATGATTGAAATGACAAACAACGGGTGTATGTGTTCCATTTTTATTATCGTGTGTATCAATAGCTTACAGATACTACTGAACAAAGGGTGTCTTCTTACGCTATCCATGTTATTATTTGCACCTTCTTTCTATTTATCATATTCCGTTTATCTACCAAATACGCAGATATATATGCATATGTAGTCTGGACCCCATCCAATTGAAAATCATTAACAATATTGTGAAACGTGCACTAGAAGGAAGAACGGAACAATTTGCTATTTGCTATTCCGATCAAACCTTATGTCTACATGCTTCAAAGCGCATCTGAATGGCAAGTATGATTAGAAAATAATCTGCTGTATAACATGTCTATTGGGGTAAGTGAATACGCACTTGATAAATTAGGAGCTCAAGAACTCCCATATAATCAGTGATATTATTAGATTTAATACAACAATAAATATTAGACCACTACGATAAGATTGATACCCAAATGCGATATGACGAATTTTTTGTAGGTTTTTAATTCGGTCACTCGACAAATAGACGGAAGATTCGCATGCATAAAAAGGTTCAGCTGTATGAGAGAGGCGTTAAAACCATTTGGTTTATAAGGCTGCTTGGGAGAAATTGAAAGAGAAATGGCTCATGTACCCCCTTTTGAATTGACGTTGTTTTTTTCTGACTATTGTAAGCATTGGCATACTTTTGTATTGTGGAAGTATATATTCCCTCGTATGTGCACACAGAATACAGTGTACAACGAACTTCTGATTGCACGAATCATACAACCCCAAACGAGTCAATTAAATCTTTTTATACACTTTAGACTACTTTGGATTTCGCGGCGGGCTCGTACTTTTTGGGTTGAAAGAAAAAACAAAATAAAAGACTTTGAAGAAGCCTTAACTCTTTTAGACGTTCCTTTAAGTCAACCCAATATTTTAGTGTCATTTTTTTATTTTTGGCTAGATTCCTGACAAGTAGAAGAACAAACGGATAACATACAAGGGTCGAGTAAATAAAATAAAGGAAGGCACGACTTCAGCTTATTCAATACATTGCTGTGCTAAACTGGCTGGAAGAAAAATGAACCTCCACTTGGGCTAGTAACTCTGGCTCAAAATTATACTGGTGAGTATGTATGGACAAGGGTAGTAATATAGTCAAGAGTATTATGACAGTCTGCGGGGGAAAACATGTTATTTTGTTATAGAACAGTATGTTTGGTAAGGGGTTGGACTTGCGTTCTTATAACAACTTTGGCCAACTTATGCAACGTGAAAGTTTGGTAACTTTATGTTTGGAACCTTAATTAAGTTTACGTTTAGTAGCAATCAATAATAGCCGATTAAGCTTTGGTTAAAACCCCGCGCGCGGCAAATGTAAACGACCATAGTATTTCAGAGATTACAATTACGAAAGCGGGAGTTGACAGAGTCAATAACGGTAGTAACTTTTGTTTAGTCTCTATCCTGTGAGGGGGATGTCGTTTGAAAATATTCAGTCGCTTATGAAATCAAAACTCAACTCTTGTCTAAAAAAAAAGTCACTGAAGGATCTCTGGCGTACCATGTCTTGGGATTGAAGATCAATTGTATGAAAAGACTATAGGTAGTGTATCGGGTTGTTATTTCTAATGGGCAATATTGGTTATTTGCAGCAAAAATTTATCGGCCAAGTGTAATGGGTTTACAATTTCATCTCTCATCTCTATCACTTTGTTCTACCTTTTTGACAATACTACATGACCACACAATGGATCAAGAAAACATCTTGCTTTCGAATCCGGTCTGAGAACGCCAGATAGGGGCCATCGAATCAACGGTGTGGAGCAGTAAACGACCTTTAACTTCCAATTTCATGGAGATGTCTTTCCTATACGGCTACCAATATTTGAACTATGTAATATGTCTCTGTCTTTTCTCTCACTTTTTTAGCTGGTTAATAACTAATAAGTTAACATCGAAGAATCCTTTAATTTATTGCTTACTTTTTTCTCTCTAGGATTTTTTTACGTAATACGGGGATCTTACAGATGACGCAATTTATAATCATCTATTGCAGGAAATCTCACATGTGCAATATATATATTTTATATAATACGTACCACAGTCAATTCACTATTCTAATCCCCTCCTCAACCTTTTAACATCCGAACAGATGATCGGCATATTATTGTGATAAATTATAAAGACTGGCTGAAGCATTTTATCAGTACCATGCCTGACTCTCCTTACATCAGGAACCGATCAAAGACAGTGATCAATCAGCAGGTTGTCTTTTGGACGGCTGACGTACAAACAATCGTCATATTAGACCAAAGATGCACAGCTGCTCGATGAATTTTCAGGTGATAGTCACTTTAATATAACGATAATGTTAAGCAGTTGATTGGCAGGTAACTAATTGATGCCACCATATATATTTAGTACATCAGAAGTAAATTACTATCCTCGGTACCATGCTATTAGGGTGCTTGGCATCCGAGAAGCATCAATGCACACTCACGTCGATGATTTCAGGGATATTCATCTTCAGGTAATAATACAAGTTCTTATTCATTAATACGATGTTGTTAAAATTGAGGACATTGATCGTAACGTCAATAATGTTTACTTGAAATAATCAGTGATATATTACTATTAAATCAAAAAGGCCAAAGAGACATATATCTAGCTGATAGAATGGTAACACGCACACCAGGTAAATATTAGCGGATATCTGAAATGTAATTGGTGAATAATAAGGTTGTGCATGATACAACGATAGAATTAACAAAATTTGATAACATTGAGAGGGAAAAAGTAAAAAGTAAAAAATAAAAAATTTCTCTGGTAATCGTTGAATTTATACAATAAAGTAATATTTGGTCTTGTTTCCATTTATTTACCATGAATAGTACAAAACAAATGTCAGAGTTATGGAACTACACAGTTATCAGTAACATGAGTATGACGCAGGTTGCTAAATACGGTAAATATTTGAACCAAGTTGACATAAATGTGAAATTAATGCAGATAGTTCGTGGAGCTTTTTAATTTCATTAAAATTTTAGTCAAATTTCGAGTTTTTTAATTCTATATCGCTTTTTCATGTTGCTCGTCGTTGTTCGAAATTTGTTGGTTACAACAAGCCTTCTTTATTGAAAGGAAGAATAATGACAAATTTAAAATGCGGGAAAAAGACAAATGTAAGAACAAGTATCATAGCCTAAAATATAAGGTGCGTGATAGTTTTTTTTAACTATAATCACATATCATATATTGCCATATTTTGAATTTGTTGCTTAATTAGTGACTTTACATTATACCATATGTGTCTGAGTGTGTAGCATATATAAAAAGAAAAAGAAGAATTTATCGTTGATTTCCAAACTTAGAAGTCCTCTACGAACGCATATGGTTTACTTATGTTGTCCTTATGTTGTCCTTATGTTGTCCTTATGTTGTCCTTATTTTATTCTTATTTTATTCTTATACTGTTCTTATATTGTTCTTATATTGTTCTTATATCGTCTTATATTGTCCTTATATTGTCCTTATATCGTCCTTAATTTCTTTCGCCTCTAGGCGAAATTCTTACCAATAGAAAATTACCCCCCAACCACTCAGTTGTTATTTCCAGCCCATCGCCCAGGTCCCGGGGGATAAGCAGCGCCTCGGCTTCAAAAGGGGCTCGCTCCCCCGGGGACATGGCCCCCCATCTCAGGGCAGCCAGTATTTGAATATGGGTTTGGTTCCAGCCATGTGCGCAGGCTATTCGGGTGTACACCCGGAGAAAATTGGTGAACCCATACAGGTGAGCGGTGCGCAACTCAATGAGGTAATTACGAACGGGGGTCCTAGGCATTTTATATATAGTATTATTATTATGGGTAAATTGTTTATAAAATAAGGTTTGGCTTGAGGTTGTTGTTTTTTTATAAAAAAATAAAATTTTTTGAGATTGGGGAACATGTAGATTTTGGTGCTTATAAAGATTTTGAGCAAAATATTTTGAGTGCTACAACGTGTTTACATTTTATTAATTTTTAATAGCGTGGCACATATTTTCATATAGGTTTTCTATTATATTATCAATAACACTTACGCGCAAAAAAAGTGAAAATATGTGTTAACGGGTGCTATAATGACAAAATTAATTAAATTGACAATAGTAAATTTCCTAATACATTTACAAAGGAAAAATTGTATAAATTATCTATACAGATACAATTGTTATAACACCTAGTGCGTTTGTTTCATAAGCTATTGTAATATACCTGGGACCAATAAAATAATACGTTAAGGCGCGCTAGACTTTTTTGAAACCTGTGTTTGGTCAATAAGAAACAGGATTACTGTCACAAGTGGTAAGCGAGCCATACGCAATGGACCTTGATTATTACATATTAGTCAAAATGGCGTAATTAACACGCAGCAGGCTGAAACGTAAAGAGGAGGCGTTGTATCATGCTGTGAAAAGCAAAGCATAGGAGTGAAAAAAAAAGGGTTGTTTCTATGTAACACGCAATATATGTTAGTGTGTTATGTAACAAGCTCGAATAGCTCGCGTTTTCGCGAGCCTGCAATTGTATTTTCTCTTTCAACCTTGCATGTTTAAGTAGCTATTTTCTAGTCGTTATACGTTAATAGTGTCGTGTTAATTATTTTAAATTTGTGTATTGACGGTTCTGGCGTTATCTTGTGTAGATGTATTAAGAAGATTAGATGTATCTTCTTAGATAAAAAGAGTTTCCGTAGTACAAGTCAATGCCGTGGGAAGGCGAGAGGATGTGAAAAAATTTTGTTTCTATTAATATGCTTATAACGGATAGCTTCCTTATCATTATCCCATATCGGATAGATATGTAAAATAAACTAGCGAATTAAGGTAAGCATTTTTACATGCTGTGCTGCATACGACTAGTACAAAGGGTAAATAAAATAATCAAGACTGATATTGTTAATGGGGAAGGGGCTATTGATTACAAAGCCTCATTATTGAATTGTCTCGCCCCCCAACTTGAGATTGTGCAGTCGTTTGTTCGCAAATTTGGCTCTCATGCAATTCTGTGTAAAAGGAGAAAGGCCCATAGTTTTGTTCTATTAAACCGTCTATTGCTGGTGCCTTGATAGAATGGTTATAGTATTAATATTTATTATACGTATACATAAATAATAGCGACTGTGATAACAATAAAATAATGTACATCGACAATATAAATGTGACAATAATCGCATACATCGGTCTTCATTTTGACCTCGTAATAGTCGCATTTTGTTGTCACTCTCACATTTGCAGATATCACAGTGATAGCATAATTGACTTTGATATTACCTATTACTATCGCGTTACATTCGATGGATTTGACCTAAACAATTGTCAATATAAAATAAAATTGTTTATGTATCAATTCAAACTGCATATTAATATACAATCATATTGACGCTTTTTTTTTTCTCTCTACAAGAAATTCGTTTCATGGGCCTTATAAATTACCCGAATATATTTTCTTTACAGACGATCTTCACCAAACGCGTATTGATTGGTTGGGATAATAAACAAACCAATCAGGAACTTTACAATAAGGAAAGAGTTATGCGCCAAGGGCTTTATCAATAATTGAAAATTTTCTATCTGATTGGTCGAATCCCTTGTAATGAACAAGCAGAATAATAGCTCTCTTCAAAGCGTTGGGTTTCTTGAGTTGACAACAATTCAATTAATGAAAGTTATTGCATGTTTATGTCATGCATAAATATCACATGATCTTGCTGATCCGTTATGAAGGGATTTTGTAGACAAACTAACTGTCCTCGCGATAGTAGACAAACTAACTATAAAAACATCAACAGATAAGAAATACAACATAACAAACGAAAACTGGTTAGTTTATTTCACTACTATGTGAGCTCGCTGTGCTCAGTTTAACTATTACTACAGTTGCATTGACATGCTATTTCTGGGGATTGAGAAGGTCCATTCCATTCGTAAGTATACAATGTTAATGCGCTTTCCATGTCATGTACGTTGTTTTGTAGGAAAGCAAGCACGAAAACTGTAAACGTTCCGGATGACATCTATACACCGGTATGTATGCAAGCAGGACAGAGTCATTGATAAATTCGTTCGAATATATATGTGGACGAGACAAACGATTCGCGCGCTGACGCCACCTACCTGTATATCATATTAACACACCTCGATTGCGACATTTACTTTATCGCCAGTAGATCTAATAGTGATATTATTGTCAAATTGTAGAGTGAACGAAAAAACGATGGTATGAAGGGGAAGGAAGAGAAGGCCAATATAGAGTTGGATATGTATGAAGGTTCTAGTATAAGATTGCAGATTCTAACAATCGTCAACCTTGTTCTTTGTTCTATAGCTATCCTGTGAAGAAGAGTATAGGACTTCCGGGTTTTTACTTGATGAAAAGGAAGGCCCAGTGACTGATGCTGATGTAATATAATGTTTATTTAACAACTAAGAATTCATTGGATGTTTTAATTAACTGGATTTGAGTTCACAGATTACTAGCTTTACCAAGGTACAATTCTCGAAGGTGACCAATTATTTAGTAACAGCCGCTGATGGACGTAATAATAAGTTTATCGTCTGTTGATTGATAACGCATATGTCTCTACATTAGTATTGTTGCTCACTTTTTTTGCGATCCTGCTGTGCATATAGACCACATAAGGCATTACATACTCTCGGGTACCTCTTATGTGCAGAGATTTCTAACAATCGTCAACCTGTAACTATCCTGTGAAGAAGAGTATAGGACTTCCGGTTTTTTACTTGATGAAAAGGAAGGCGCAGTGACTGATGTTTATTTGACAAGTAAGAATTCATCGGATGGGTACAATTCTCGAAGGTGACCAATTATTTAGTAACAGCCGCTGATGGACGTATGTAATAATAAGTTTATTGTCTGTTGATTGATAACGCATATGTCTCTACATATAGTATTGTTGCTCACTTTTTTTGCGATCCTGCTCTGTGCATATAGACCACATAAGGCATTACATACTCTCGGGTACCTCCTATGTGCAGAGATTGTATCGAATAATCTGGACGTTTGCTGAGGGGAGGAGGAGGATAGACCAAGGATGAGTTATATGTGGATCATCGGAGCGTTATCAAGAATGATGGGAGTGATATTCAACCGCTTTGTCATTGCGTGATATTCTCAAAACCAATAAATAGTTGTCTTTAACCTTATTTTTTCTCTTACTCAAGTTTCCTGTTTCCCGTACTCACAGTCCATCCCGCCCATTACACACCCTCTTAAATTGGCACCAGGCTTCCTGACGTGCATGTGTGGTACGGCAGTATAAAAGCATTATGGGGCATAGTATAGGGACTGTGAAAACGATGTTCTATCAACTTTATCAATACGTCGTTACTATATTGACTCTTTTATGAGGGTGAATGATTTCCTTGAAGATCGCTTACCAAACGACAAAACCATATCTAGCTATCCGATCAGCTTGTCGACAAGTCAGCGCCTCTACTGAAAAGTTCATCAGTCAACTCCGCTCGTCATGTCATACAGTCCGATAGATGAATCTACATATCAAGTCTACTTCAAGTCATCAATTCACAACGACGAAGAGCATGTTGTAAAAACCCTGTCCTTACGTTTTTCTCATCCGCGGCCTTTCCCTTTCTTGATTAAACGACCAACCAAGCTATCTTTAAGCATTTAGTATCTTGTCCTACGAAATACTTGCATTAGTTATATATTTTAAATTTGTCTGATAGGCAAGATGAAGAGCCGCCTTGAGGACGTGTACGTATCATCGCAAACGATAATACGTTTAACGAGATGAATATTGACCAACGCTATAATGGAACTTTGTTTTTCGTACTACTATCTTCCCCTGCGATTCGATTAGTTTACTGCCAAAAATATAGTCTCACGAGTACAACTTATTTCCGTCTCTTCTTTTCCCGAGTAAACAAACTCGCTATATAACTTTTGATGATGGCAGACTTAACAATCGGCTATTCTATGTTGGGCTAGTAATTATAGATAATTAATATAAGATTTAATTTATTATTTATGAAAAATCAACTGTGTTCGCAGAGTCTTATTGTTGTCTGTCTATATTTCTTCAAGAGCCGTCTTGGCCCAAATGGAGCATCATGGAAGTCGCAACGTGAAAGGAATTTATTAATTATCCGAAAGATAGAAAATGTATTTTCACTTCCTTAATATCAACATTATTTTTGCAGACTTAGAAATCGGTATTGTAATAGCGGGTCAGTTACAATTGACGGACAGCAGACAATCAAGCTATATTCTGTGCTTATATTGACTTTAATTACGACCTTGATTTATTACTCAATCGTATACAACAATACTACAAACATTCTCATTAATGATTGATTTTATCTTTAAATATAAAAAAAATCTCCAAGTTAACACAAAAAGAAGTTTATCATACGAATTTCATATGCAAATTGCAATTAAGAAAAGTATTTCATCTCTCCTTGTTGCCGCAGAAGAAATGTTTATCAAAACTAGCTTAGTAGAACCACTTATTACTAGCTCAGAATGGGAAATTACTAACAAAAAACCCACTTAAGAACAAACCTTAAGATTTTAAAAAAACAAAATTAAAAAACAAACAAAAACAAAAAAAAAGCAAAAAAAAAAATAATAATATACGAATTTTTATTCGTTTTCGTCGTCATAGTGATCCCTATTAAAATAAGGAAATGGTCAGGTCTCAATTCATTCCATTGCAGTACTTGTACCCCATTAAATGCTATCTATATAAATCGGCTGCCCTTCCCAAGTCTTCTCTTTAGTTGCCCTTTTATATTATTCGAATATCTTACACTATACTCTACATCAAATGCCCATTCTATAATCCTGATTCATACCTTTTTTCCCCGATACACGGGTCTTGTATCACTACATGTGACATTGGAGGAGTGGGAGGAGGGGGGCAGCAATCGCATATGATGTTTTGCGTGCTAATGAGGTCGCAAAACATCCCGAAATCAAAATTTTCCGGGTCGTTCCCGTAAGCCTCCAAAATGTTGTCGGCGACCGTGTAGTAAACGTCGTCGTCGTCGTCGTAGTCGTCGTCGTCGGCGGCGGCGGCGTCTTCTTCTTCTTTTTCTGCTGCTGCTGCTGCTGCTGCTGCTGCTGCTGTTGCTGTTGCTGCTGCTGCTGCTGTTGTTGTCGTTGTTGCTGTTGTTGCTGTTGCTGTTGCTGTTGCTGCTGCTGCTGCTGCTGCTGCTGCTGTTGTTGTTGTTGTTATTGTTGTTGCTTTGAATTCGATTTTGGGGGGTTCGGACGGACTATAGTACACCATATACGCCTGTTGTTCAAAATCGTAATAGAAAAATGGTGTGTCAAAGTAATTTTCCATTGTATATGAAGTGAGGTTGATAGACAACAAGATGACAAGATGACAAGATGACAAGACAACAAGACAACATATGTGGAATTTGGGGGAATCAAGTAGCGTATTTATAATGAATTCTAGATAATAACACCAAAATTAAAATATACAAGAATATTATGAATAACTTACTGTGAAGAATAGTTTCCAAAAAAGGTTGATAATGCTGATCAGTGATTGTATCTGCTACTTTCCATTGTCCTAGTTATCGCCTATTCGGGTTGGGGAAGATCTTGCAGTAGACGTGTTTGAAATATTTGTTTTATACTGTTTCCGTCTGATATATCAATAAATGAATGACTAGCTTTTGTAATTGTCTTTTCTCAACATAAAAATTTACGTTAATATCTAATAAGACACAAGTATCGGAGTTATCGGTATCAAGTCCATTGCTCTTGGTCTAACATCAACAAGTCGTATATGAAGATAGTATAAATGCAAATTTTTTATACGTTTTTAAAAAGCGGCTGTGCATATAATTAAATAGGTAAAAAGGCTTGCGTTCAATTAGATAGTTTTATATTATACGCCCTTGAGCAGTCTATTGCAAAAAGGCCCACCTTTGTATACCTTTGTATATTAATTGTATTCTATGTACTGGAGGAGTCAATTAATTATACAGCATCTACATAACTAAAACTCCTTCTGCGCCGAATCTGCGGGACCTTGAGTAATTCCATGAAATCGTTCTATTGAATGTATGCTTCGTATTGATGCAATATCGTTGTCGATCAATGGTGATAATGGAATGCAGTACAACTTCTCGTTTACATCCCCTTGGTAAAGGGACATCTGAACAACTAAGGGACACTCCCCGTTTTTTAGGAAAAAAAAAATTTTTTTTGACCGTTTCTCTCACGCAAAGTATGTATTCTCGTTCTGTTGCGAGTATTTTATTTTTTTTTCTAGTAAAAAGGTGAATTATTATTATATAACAAACGAGTGGTTTATTACCACGGTAATACATTTAGGATATTAGTGCCTCCTTCTCAATGGGAGTCGAATTGAGAGTTATTATCTTTTCACTTCATCAACAAAGTTCGCTGCTGTCACGATGTTGTTAATGCATGCATGTCACCCCATGACATCGTGAAGTTTAAGTGTGTCGTGCTACCACAGGCATTGATACTATCGTTGTGTGTTGATCGCACAATAATTCTAATATGTTAAACGATCGACGTGTTTTCGTCACACGGATTTCATATAGTAATATTAATTTTTATGATAATACAAAATCATCACAATACATGGGGTCACTATTACTATGAGGGGATAGAATATGAGACGGTAACTTTATTATGTGACAACGGAGAACTCTGCTTGATCGTAAACAGGATAAAGCATTGAAATAGAAAACGCTATAAGTCATTCGATAAACCTAATGCATAGTTGTTTGCCTCATTCTCCAACAAGGAAGACAAAAGGGAAATAAAGTTCAAGATGGGCGTTCGGTTAGAGGAAGAAAACCTACAAAACGATTATTGGTAGAATAATAGTTGGGCTTTGGACTTTTTACCCCGTTCAATTATTATTCATCCCTGTTACCAGGAAGAAATAGGGCAAACCAAATCATAGTTGCTCAAAGACATTTCATTCGAACGGAGAGCGGAGAGGTTCTTTGTAAAAAACCTTTGTTTAACAGCGTATCAAATCTATTATCTATTGTACTACCAATCACAATTTGTTGCCTTTTCCCCTCCCCCCTCTTCTTGTTATCTTTATGATCCTGTCACATTGACCAGCTTTTGCCAGCCATCACAATGTACGTATAAATAATATACTGGTAAATTTTGATGCACATTCGAAGAATATCAATCACTGATCGAATCCATCTTACAGCGAATATTACTTATTTGGAGCGTCAATATGCACGGCTCTGTGAGAAAATACAAAAAACAGGATTGAGGCGCACAATACTATATTTGTATCCATTCTGCCAATGAGATTACCCATTAATCTTCAGTTATTGATTCGGGTACTCGTATCTATAAGGGAGGCGTATTATGCATAAGAGATAGCTCATGTAAGTTGCATGTGTTGCTTACAGTCCCCTTGTGACGTTTATCATCCGTATCTCCGACTATACGCAGCACATATCTTTTTTTTATCTTCCCTTTTTTAGTGTTCGCTATAGAAAAAAGGGTGCTTGCTGCTGCATGTGATGAAAGAACAATGCATAACAACTCCGAAGGCTTTGTCAGCGGGAGGGGACGGGAAAAACTTGTATTGTACTATCTACTATTAACAGCAACCGTTTCATTGACCAAATAGCATTACAGCAGAACTGTGTAAGTGGGACGTTCTAGTATTTCCCATGCTATTATCCTGGCTATCCAGTATTATCCAGGCAATATCAAGGTATTTATTTATTGTTAAAAAACGTACCGGGTGGGCTTGCAAAAGAAATAGCAAATTTCGTTGCCGTACTATTGATGCTTCAAGCAGCTTACATTTATTGTTTATTGAATAAATTCTCGCATTTACTTTCTACTTATTCTGGTGATCTATAGGTTGGTCTAGGCAATTGACAGCGTGAGTTCTGGCGTTTGAAGCAGAGAATATCTATGCCATTGTTCATTAAAGCAAGGAGAATCCATTCCTTCGACTTTATGCCATATTATTCTTGATGTCTATTCTCTGTCACCTTGCCTGGTCATTTCGTATGA